ACAAAGTCAAACTGAAGCCTGAGCTTCAGGCAGTGAACATTTAGCATTATTGGTCTGTTCCACCTGCAAACTGCAGACTTTGGTATGAGAGCATGTGCTCCACACAGTCGGCCGGCTGTTGGGAGCCTCTGACTCGCTTTGCCGGTATGGGATGTGCTTTATGAGTATCTTTTCAGTTGGGAACTTTGTATGGACCTGCAAAATCAAGAGACCCAAACTGCTTCAACACAGGACTTGGCTAAGCCAAGGTGCAAAAACTTTTTTAGGGAATAATTATTTTGTGAAATGTGAGTCACTGAGTTCAAAATTCCTATGCTAACAGAGAACTATTTTTTGTTTTCTTATAAAGATAAAACTATCAAGTTATGGAAAATTACTGAAAGAGATAAGAGACCAGAGGGGTACAACTTAAAAGATGAAGAAGGAAAACTTAAAGATCTTTCTACAGTAACATCACTACAGGTAAGCTGTTCTCTTTGTTCAAAATCCTTTTTTTTTCAGGAAAAAGAAAACTAGTCATGGTACTGACTCAGTAAAAGATTTAAATATATACCTAAATGTTAAGCATATGTATGATTATTCTTACTGGAGTTTTAGTTGACTGATACAGTCTTGAATCCATCACACGTTTTTTCAAGTCACAAATGCTGTGTGATATAGTGGCCAACACAAGAATGTTTATGGAGTTTATCATCAGTTTTATTCGTCCTGACAGAGTTCCCTCAAGCATGGCTTAGCAGGCTTTCGCGCGGGATTCTTGAACTTAGCGCGCTGGAAGCCGTCTACACAAAAGTTAATATTAAAGTGTTCTTGCCTCATTCGGGGCAACTGACTTAAAGACAATACACCACATTTCAGTATTTCAGTCTCGTCTTTATTTCAGTAATCTAAAAGAATTATTTCCTATGTGAGGAACAGTATTTTCAGTGGACTGTGCTCCAGTGAATGCTAGGGTCTGCACAGCTGAGGAGATGCAGTCGTGGAGCTCATAAGAGCATGTAGGTAGGATATTGGAATAGATTTTTACTCTCAGGCTGTAGTGACTGAATTCACTTCTGGTGTTTTGGCGAAGGAAATGGCTAAAGGTAAGAACTGGAAGGCCATGTTGTATGTTGCTAGTATTTCTTCATTGTTTAAAAAAGGCAAACAGACAACCCCCACCTCCAGAACAAGCCAGTATTGTATACTGTGAAAAAACTCCATATAAAGAGGAACAAATGAATGGAATACTGATCTGTTAGGTATGGCTGGGGAAACAAAACCATTTGGGATAGCTTATAGTCTGAGAGCAAACCATTGTTGTTTTTAATTGAGAGGCCATTCTTTTGTTCTCTTAGCGACAGGCTAAACTCCAAGTAACTTATCTGTGTTCCTTTATAAGCTCTCTTGTGAAGTGATGTATGATAGATTGTTTTTGGTGCATGTTCAGCTGCACTGAATAGCCTCAATCCTGAACCACAGCCTTACTGTATTTAATGCTTTACCAAGAGGGAATAAATTGACAGTGTCTAGTTACTGAAGCATGACATTGAAGTGACACGCAGGGAAATAATGAGAGTGCAGTGGTCAGTGATGGTCTGTGGGCTATGCTTTTGAGGAGTACGAGTGTATGTACAGTATGGCAGTGTGCATATTGGCTTTGTTTCTAAGAATTCATTTTTTTATGTTTTGAGGAAATTATACTACTTTTTTGCTACTTTTTTGAGACACACACATCAGGTAGCAAAAGAAATACTGTCAGTGATTTACAACAGGCAGCAACTCTTCAGGGGCACCAAAATACTAGGACCGCACTGTCGGCTTGCCAGTGCCAGAAACTCCTGCATATGTGGGGCAGTAGCTCCTGCTGTGGGACTGGCCTGTTCTGTGGCAGCCAGTGTGTCCCTTCTGACAGTCCAGACTTTCCATCGCTCTACCTGACTCTCCATGGCTCCTTCTGTCTGTCCCTGCTCTCTTGGCAGGCTTGGCCTTGCCCAGTTACTCATCCATGGAGAAATTCAATTTGCATACACTGCTGGGAAGTTCTGTAATGCCACCGTCTTTGAATGCTTGCTCTCATCCAGGCTCTCATCATACCAGCAAAAATTAAACTGAAATTCTTACTCTCCTTCTGGTTTGTGTTTTGTTTTTTTGCAGGTGCCTGTATTGAAACCTATGGATTTGATGGTAGAAGTCACTCCCCGGAGAATCTTTGCTAATGGTCACACCTATCATGTCAACTCAATATCTGTCAACAGTGACTGCGAGACATACATGTCAGCGGATGATCTCAGGATTAACCTCTGGCATTTAGCAATCACAGACAGGAGCTTCAGTATCCTTTGTTGTGGTGCCTTGCTTAGTGTTGTTAGTATTGGTGGGATTTAAGAGAGCCTTTTAAGATTAAAATTTTTTTGAAGATTTTAAACATATACCTTACACTCCTCAGAATCTCTGCAGTATACATAACAGAAAATGCTCAGATATTATAATAGACAACTAAGGGGTAACAAAAATCATGGAATTTTGTGTGAAAAATGCAAATCTCAGAGTTGCAAATAACCAGGAAACTGACGCCAGCAGACCGGTAACTGTCCACGTGACTAGGATTCTCTCTCTTCTTGTTTCCTGAAAACATCTCATGTTCAGTTGCTCCACACTTTTTTCTGAAAGGTCAGTCCTTACCCTGGCTGCTCCCCCCGTTCTCCATCATCCTGCTTCTCTGAACCCTAATGTCTGAGATGGGCACAGCTTGGGGCTTAGGCTCAGCCGCTTCAAGCGAGTTGTTGTGTCTGCGATTAATGCGGTCATTTCTATATCGAGTGCTGGCACCATCCTGAAAGCTGTATTGTGGGATCATTGCAATCACCTGTGAGGCTACCCCCCGCATGGCAACAGGATGGCTTGGAGAAGGAGCAAAAAAAACAGAGCCAAGAAAAGTGATTCTCTGCATTTTGCAGAACAAAAAGGGACCAGTAAGAAGAGAAACAGGTTGTTTTATGGGACGAGCTCAGAATACTGCATTTCTTTGGTGATTTCTCTGTGAATTAGTATGAAGGACTGTTAGACATCAAAGTGAAGTTGTTGACCTACTGGGTGCAAACTCCTAAAAGAAAGCACCAAAGTGAGGGGAAGCTTGGTATATTTTCCCTGTTCCTGATGGTCTAATCATCTATGGAGCTTGACTCACACTCTGTTAAAGTCATAGGAAGAGCTTTCATTAAGTCACAGAATCACAGAATGGTCAAATAAATCTTAATGTCCTTAAAAACGAAAACCAAACTGAACTACGTTTGCAGTATAAAATGGAGGTGCTTTTACGCTGGGGGCGTAGGGAATATCTCAATTGGTTTCCAAACACATACTCTTTTTCTGTCTTCCACCTGTCTAGATTATTAAGCATGTTAAATGGTGCCCTGTTTAAGAAGATTGTTTTGGAGACCAATTTCTAAGTGGTCCCAAACATACATAAGTTAAGGTCCCAGATTTATGTATGTTTTCATCCTTTAAAGCGTAGCTATGCCTGCCTTTAGTATTCAGGCAACCGTACTACCATCCTTTAGTGTGAGAAAACAGAATGGGAAAATTGTTTGCCAGCCCTCCTGTATGCGGCAGCAGCATGGCTCCGGACAGCGTCCTTCTCGGTATAGCTTCACCCTTCAGTCTTGTGCCTGTTCTGGATGCCTCTGTACAAACCTGCAGTGTATTTTCCTCCTCTTACCTCTATAGCCAAGCGGTGAGTTAGACCAAGCATGGGAATCTCTACATATCTGTGTGTAATAAGCAGACCGTGTTCCAGGATACTTATGCAAGATAAGTCTTTGCTTTTGGCAATCGCTTTTGTTTTGTGAAAAGCTATTTTAAAAAATATGGATTGCTAAGAGATACATCTCTGACAACTTTTTAAAAAATAAATATTTATTTATTATATTTCATGAATACAATACGAATTTTGTTAAGTGATTTCCCATGCTAAGAGCTTACTGACCGAAAGCAATATCAGCCCCAAATGAATTTTTAAATCCCAAATATGTGTAAATTCTTGAAAATAAAGGACTTACTATGGAGGTATTGATATAATCAGAGCGTAAGCACTGTGAATATAGCAGTGAAGAATAATTTTTTGTGTTCATGTACAGCCTTTTATCTTAAAATCATTTATACGTATTGATCAACGAATCCTTACAAGAGATTAAAAGATTGGTAGATAAATATATTTGTCCCCTAATTTACAGATAAGGAAATTGAGTTGCAAGATTTAAAGAAACTGCTTATGAAAACTATAAATTTCATAGCTGTGACTAACTGTTTTATTTTATTTGACCTTTCTATGAAAACTGTTGTATGCAGTCTTCAAAGTGCTTGGCTTCCAAAGATGTTTCAAATTCTAGCAAAATGCTAGGAAAGAGCTGAAAAACAAACTTTCTCTTACAATCATAGCTGTACATACATCATAGCTGGGCATACATACGTCCTGATGGAAGAGCATGAACAGCAGAGGTATTTGCGATTGAATAACTCTGTTCAGGATGTTATTGCTTCTACTCCTGTATGTTTAACTGTCGTGTTCAGTCACAGCTGTGAACTGTGTTTAAAGCATCAGCGCATTCCCCTTGTGGAATATTTACTGGTAAAATGTTTTTGAGGGTTTGTGATTGAATGGTTTTAACCCTTAAAACACTACGCAATTCATACAGAGTGGAACACTCGATTTCTGGGTATGTTCTAAGACTGCTGAAGAAGGGGAAATTAAGAGTATGTTTCTCAGTGTTAGGACAGGAAATAATTCCTGTATCTTGGACAGTGGCTATAGGATACTTACCTGGATAACTTTGGGATACCAATATCCTGGATTCAGATACAGATATTGCTGTTGCTTTTAGGTAGACTTGAATGAACACCTGGTGGATTTGTGATGAGACAGTTTAGGCAATGTTAGGAGAGAACTTCAGGCAAATGGATGATCCCTATTAGGAGACAAGCAGCTCTTGCTACACAGGCCACGCTGGCAGCAGATTGACTTTTGTGGCTGGGTACTATTACATATTCATGGGTGTAGACCAGAGGTAAACAGATTGTATCCACTTCTAATTCAGACAATATGAATTTTCATCTATCTCAGCTGTCTGATCCAGAGCATCAGATGAGTAAGTTTTACCTGCTGAAATCTTGGATAAACCGAAAAGCTGAGATACCAAAATAGGAGACCAAAACAGGGGGAAGGAGGGGATGTGTGAGTTGAACTTGCATCAGACTTTCAACAGGTTTCTTTTTGTGCCCGTAGAACCTTGTAAGGCCTTGTGATGTTGCAGGGGCACATGTCCCGCTGGATTTCAAAATCTGTCTCGATTTCTGTCCTGTGGAAAAGTCAGTTGCATAAAGCACTCTGGGAGGTAGATTAGCTTCTGATTAAAAAAAAAAAGGGGGGGAGGGGGTGTGCAGGTTGCAATTAGGACTAGACATATTAAGATGAAAAAACTGTGCCAAGCAAACAATTTAAATTATAAATGAATGTTGCTGGGCTTGGTGCCTTCTGCTAACACTTAGGAGGGCTAAGCTCGGCCAGTTTTGAAAATGCTTAGTTCATACCTTTACTAGATGAAAAACAGAAATGAAGCATTTTGCTGTTTTATGTACCAGGCTGGATTGCTTGAAATACATATTTCAAATTATAAATAAAAAATATTTTAGTCTCAAGCAGCATTTGTTAATGAGGAATCTGGCAGTGATGCATATTTGTCTTTCTACTTTCCCTCTGAGGCAGCACAGCTACATATAATGAACTACAATCTGTTTACCCAAGAGGCTGGTTGAGACAATGACACAAGCAACACATACAGCGTTAGAGTTTCTGGATGTTCAGCTCACGTTTGAACGCCTTTACAGATTGCATGGGAAACGCTGGAGAAAGACTGTCAGATTAGCAGCAATATGCTGAGTTTTTTCAAGTAAAATAATTTGCATTTTGGAATTTTAATTGAGAAGAGTCAGGTTTTAGCCATTATTTTAGCAGTTTTACTGAGAATTATTCATTTCTTTGCTAATGAAAAGACAAAGCAATGCAGATCTCTAAGCTGATTCGCCTTCTGGCTCTTGGAAAATATTTTAGATCAACTTTGCAAAATGTGACCAGAGTATTTGCCTCAGGTAAAGCCTCAGGCAAATAAAATGTAATTAGTGGTTATCTGTTTTGCTCTTTTTATTAGCATAAACACCAACTGGGGTGAAAAACAAGCGAGTGAGTTTTATGCTATGGCTAGGTACACTTTTATGAGCAATCTGCAAGACTTCTGTACGTCGCTTCTCACTTGCAAGCAGATTTGCTCAGTATCTTCTGGACAGGAGGAGGGAAGGGAGAGGAGGAGGTGAGCGGAAAGGAAAGTCAGCTAGTAAATAATTACGCATACAAGGCTTTCTTCGCTAAAAGGTTTAATGTGTTCAGTTGTGTTACAGAGAAGGAGGGTCCGTGTCCTTAATTATAGATGATATTCTCCACTGCGAAAGAAGTGAGGTAGAGGTTGCTGCATTTGTTAATGTTCAGTCTGAAATGGCTTAGCAGCGGTGCCCGTAGCTTAAGCCTCCAGATAAGTCATCTTGGGTGTAGTGAATGAGAAAACAGGACGGCTGGAAGCGTACTGATAAGGCTTACTTCACATCAGCAGCAATCTTCAGACTATCTAGCTGTACTAAATATTCTTTATGAGAATGTATTTGGATTGCTCACACAACTATGTAGCTCAGAGCACTCGAACGCCCTTCGTTTCCTGGTAGCGCACTATTTCACTCTGGAGGCTGTCATGGCATTGCTATGGAAACAGCATCACCACTTCCACTATGTACTCATCTTGAGGCTCATCTTGACTAAAATACTCATTTCTCAGTCAGATCAATATAGTCCAGGGTTATCCTGTCTTAATAAAAAAAAAAAAATCCTTCTTTCATGTCCCCAAAGGGTTCAGCTAATTAGCAAATCACCATAGGGCCTTTTTATAATCTAACGTATTCCAACATTTGAGGCATATCGTGGATATTTGCGCTGTTAGGCACTGTATCTTGGGGAAATTGATTTCCTCAAGTAGCAAACAACAACAAAGCAAAGACTTTGTAAGATCAAAATAACATGGTGCACAGATGGAGACCGAGTTTGTGGCAGGTATGACTGCACCTGAATAACACAGGGCAGACACAGGGCTCTGGGAAGGCACCTAGGTTTACACAGCTCCTGTGGCCTGCTCCAGTGCTAAGCAATTGAATGCTAAGCCCGAAACAAATATGCAGGATTCTCTTGGCATCTGTGGAGCACTAAGATAGTACATTTGTGTCCTCGAGAGAGAG